TTGATTCGTTATCTTCATACACCTTTAATCTTCATCAAAAATCGCAACACCCTCTTCTGCTTCACCAAATTTGCTTCTCATTAAATTCATCACAATCGCAACGACAACAACAACGATCAACATATCTACATCCTCACTCCTCTGTATTAATATCAACAACTTCATCATCACAGAAACCACACTACATCAGCGACTCCATTGCTTCAACTTCTTCCTCAACACATCTATAACAGTCGTACAACATAGAACATCACAACAACATCATTCACGGAGTCACATCGAAAACAACATAAACACATGGAATCGCATGAAAAAGAAGATAGAAGGAGTCGAATAAGAGGATGAATTGAATACAAAGCATATACTTGAACATATTTTTGGATTTCTCGTTGCTATCGCAATCGATGTGGCACCAGGCTATCTCCGGTAGGTAACACTCATCAATCTCTTGATTCATTCCATTAGTGTTTAATGTTTGTTTTTGTTCGGCTAGTTTGGTTGAATCGATGGAGAGATAAGGGAGAAATGAAAACAGAAATGAAGAGAGTGAAACGAAGAGAGCGAGACGAAGTGTGTTGATAGATTTGAAGACGGATCCGCGAAGAGATGAGGTAAAGAAGATGCATTTCGCAGAGACCTTCTATGGTGAAATGGATCGGAGAAGATTGATACGCGGTAGCGAAATGGAGAGGAATGTTCAAAGAATTGGGACCGTCACAAATTCAATCCTGAATTTCTCTCCATACGCTGTGTTTTAATACTCTTCCATATTTTGGGGGAACTGAAGATAGTTGAGAGTGGTCTGTGGCGGAATGAGAGTTTGGGTTTCGGGTTCCTTGTTTGCGGTAGGGATAAGTGAAAAATAGAAATTTATGATTTGGAACTTGGATTGCTAGAGAATATACTAGCAAATAAAATACAAGGTAAAAAAGTTTTTTAAAATGGGAAAAATGAAACACTGGTCTTTTAAAAATATAAAAAGAAAAACCAAAATCTACTTATCAAAAAACTCCATAAAAGTCCATGTGAGTTACCTCACTTGGATGGGATATTCTTAGATCTTAGTAAATATGAGTGGTTAGGGTGGCTCACGGTGGTAATAAACTTTATTTAGTGATATTTATAATGTTTACGGAGTAGAAAGTGAATTGATGTTTTATGTATTTTAAGAGCTTTTTAACTTTTTTACGGCGACGGGTGTTTTACCGTCGTGCCCATGAGAATTTTTAAATGTTTTGGATGCGACGGTTGTTTTACCGTCGTGAAATGAATTTTAGGACGGATAATTTTACCGTCGTGAAAGGTTTAAGGGTGCGACGGGTGCTTTACCGTCGTGATATGCCTTTTAGGGCGGTTAATTTTACCGTCGTGACTAGTTGTTGGTGAAAAATCAATGTTAAAAGTGTTAAATGGGGGCCGACGGTTGTTTTACCGTCGTAATAATAATATTATGATGGTTAAATATACCGTCGCAAAATAAATATTAGGGACGGTTGGTGTCAACTGTCGTAAACACTGTCTCTATATGTCAATTACGACAGTTATCACATAACTGTCGCAATTTTTGTGTCGTTAAACACTAATTTTCTTGTAGTGTAATAATTGTTGTAATAGCTTAGATTTATTTTACGCAATTTATCGCATTATATACATGTTTAATAAAATTAGGGTTTGTATGATAAAGACACAAATCAAACAAATACAAGACCTAACACAAGACAAAATGCATGTAAAATGACACACATTGCACACAAGCACTCTTAGGGTTTCACCCACTTGGTTGCCTAACAAAATGGCCATGGTATGCATACAAAGTATCTTGGCAAAACAAAACAAAACAAAATATCATAGTCCCTCGATGACGCAATAAATGATCTTAGTCTCTCAAAATGCTAAAGATACTTGGCAACATTGCTATCATGGTCATACGATGACCCACGCCCGTCTCTTTTAACATTCAAAGATAGGGTTGTCTACTAAAATAATAGTAGGTCAACAATGTCAAAAGAATAAAAATGTACAAGAAAGCCTTTTGAGTAGGGTAGAATGCTTCTAGTTACTTGCTCTCTTTGCAAACAATCATTGCTATTTTCAAACAAACACACTAGTTTCAAAAACATTTTCAAACAACTTTCAAAACATTGAAACATTTTTCAAAAGACAAACATCTTTGTATACATTCTTACGAACGAGAATCATTACAAAGATTGCCTAAATAAAGACCTCTTTTCAAAATGCTTTCAAAACCACACAAATCACCATTTCAAACAATTGCAAAAGCAAAGCAAGTGATCTAAACAAGTAACTAAGAGTCCATGGAAAATCATGGATGAAAATTGTGTTAATACCTTCCCTTTTCATAATCTACCCCCGAACTCAAGAAAACATCTCAAAGGTGTTTTCTGTGCTTTTTTACCTTTCCATTTGGATAAAATAAAAGTCGGTGACGACTCTTGCTAAAACGCAACATTTTGCAAACACAAACGTAACACCTCAAGTCAGTTCTCTCACCGCATCACACATGACCAATTCAATTTTTCTTTGTGTGAAATTTTACTCGAGAGATAAAGTGATAAATTTTCATGATATTTTTTATTACCTTACTTACGAATCTGAGGAAAAATCTCTTTTCAATTAAGATAAAAGAAATTTTTTGTAGTAGTACATATACTGAAATTCTTTAGGCAAAATTATCCAGAACATTAATGTAGGGGTAAAATATTCCAATTTTAAAAATCTTAATTATAACTGTAAAATTTGAATAGTATAATTATTTGACAGATACAAAATGTAGAATTGGAATATTTTAAAAAACTAGAGGTAAGGGGATAACGATAGGAATATGGGATAAAATTGCATAAAATATGTCATTGTATACACTACGCCAAAAATGATTTTTTGTATCACCTAATTTAATAGCACTTTTAAAAAAAATGCTATTAAAATGGAAAAAACACATTTATAATAGCACTTTTTAATCGGGCGCTATTATATAATACAGACTATGTAATTATGATAGCACTTTGTACCAGAACGCTATTATTAAACTTCTTTAAGATAGCATTTTGTATAAAACGCTATTATTTGACTACCTATATAATAGCATTTATTAAAAAGCGCTATGTTATATATAATAATGAATTAATTAATTAATTGATAAAAAAAAAAAACAAAACACATTTTCATAAAATTAGGTTTCTGAAACACTATCTTCCTCTGCTTCCTTCTGCTTCCCTCTGCTTCCTCCCGCATCCACTCACCGCCAAAAACAAAAACACTATCTTCCTCTGCTTCCTTCTTAGCCAACTGATTCACCTCCGTCAAATCTTCCTCTGCTTCCTTCGGTTTTCATTGATTCACCGCCGTTGGTCATTGATTTACCACCGTCATCCCTTCCTTCGGTTTTCACCCGGATCCATTCTTCAGCCATCGGATTCACCATCGATTCAGATTCAGATTCACTTCATCGGCGCCTGTTGTTTTTGGGTGTAGCAACCAGTAGAGTGGGGACTTGACAAAGTCTGATAGAGCAATTGATGGTATATTTGGATTTGGGCAACAGGGCATGTCAGTAATTTCTCAGCTCTCTTCACAAGGAATAGCACCAAGAGTGTTCTCACACTGCTTGAAAGGAGATAGTAACGGTGGCGGCTTATTGGTTCTTGGTGAGATTGTGGAGCCAAACATAATTTATAGTCCACTCGTTCCGTCACAGTATGTTCTTCCATTAGAATAAAATGCTACATTTTAACTATTTTATGTATATATACTCGTTTATCATCTTAAAGCCCTGGTAAATGTGTTATTGTCAAAATTTTATTTGTATTGAAATGGCCATTTTCTTTGATTAATAAAGTTTAAACATTAAGATTAGTTCTATGTTAAATATTTCAGGCCTCATTATAATCTAAATCTGCTGAGCATCTCTGTCAGTGGCCAAGTTTTGCCGATTGATTCTGCTATTTTTGCTACATCAAACAATAGAGGTACCATTATTGATTCTGGAACAACTTTGGCATACATTGCAGAAGAGGCTTACAATCCCTTTATCCATGCGGTGAGTTTCACTTAGGTAATTTCTTTTCGTCCAATTGATCAATTATGGATATTGCTTTGATTTATCTATATATTAACGGAAATGTTGTTCTCTGTAGATTACCGCTGCCATTCCACAATCTGTGCGCACTGTTCTTTCCAGAGGAAATCAGTGTTACTTAGTTACCACCAGGTTAAAATGAAACTGTTCATATATATATTTAATGGATTATTTTATGACATAATTTCCCCGAATCAAATGCCTATAATAGACAATCTTTCTCTGCCTCTTTCTGGCTATACCGTGTTTAACAGCCTTGACATGTTTCCTCAAGTAAGTCTGAACTTTGCTGGCGCGTCTCTCGTTTTAGGACCACAGGACTACCTTATAAAGCAGAACTATATTGTAAGTATTCAAACTTCAATATCGATTTAAGAGCTACTTCACGTCTAATTATTTTTCTATTATGAATGTTATCTCACTAGTTGAATGATATAATAAACCTGTTGGTTTTATAGGGAGATGGATCAGTTTGGTGTATCGGCTATCAGAAAATCCCAGGGCAAGATGTAACAATTCTAGGAGGTAATTGTATAATACCAGTTTGGAAACTTTATTTTCGGTCCTACTTCAACGCTGTTTGTTTCTGTGATATACTGAAAATATACATAAAAGATGTTTTGCATTTGATTGAAGTATGTTAAACTAAAATAGCCGAATCTTCAAGATATTATCAGAAAGTTTTGATGTTAATTTATGATACTATAACAACACTATTTTTTCTGGCAGACCTTGTATTAAAAGACAAAATTTTTGCACATCACTATCATATTATATTATTCCCACCCCCAAGACTTTATTGTATTATGAATTCACATGAATCTTATAACATGCTAAAAAACAGAACAGAGTTTATGAAAACGACTCACATCTTTAAGATCTTGATCGGTTGAGTATCCAAATTTCAGTATAGTTGCTGCCACATACACTGCTAAACGAATTTTATTTGGAAATTTGTGACATGCATCAGTAATACTCAATCCTCCTGCACTATGCCCCACCAATATAACCTATTATTCATATATATATTATTAGTATTATAATATATAAGGTTAAGAAATAAATCAATATCAAAATAAAAATAAAAATATAGAACTTACCTTTTCATTATCTGGTAAATCAGATATGAAATCAATAAGAGGTTTATTATAATCATCAAAAGTAAGAATAGAATCAGCATGAGATTGATCAATTCCACAACTTTTAAGGTCTATGCATGAAACTTTGTACCCAGAATTCTCCATAAGACAACAAATTTTATACCAACACCAACTTCCTCCACTTATGCCATGTACAAACACAAAGTGCTGTTTCAAAGGAATGGTAGAATTTGAATCAACTACTCCTTCTTCTATATCTCTCACAGCCATGCCTTTTTCCTCAGCTTCTTTTGTTTTCAATGTTGTTGGTGAAACCAATATATATATATATATATATATATATATATATATATATATATATATATATATATATATATATATATATATATATATATATATATATATATATATATATATATAATCAAAGATAAGAATAAGAATAGTTATAATTTAAGGGGTTGTGACGTTTCCTTTTTATATGTCCTAGTCAATATTATAGGAATAGGAATATTATAAATATTGAAGGCGGGTTCATATAGATATAGATAATATAAAAACACTGTTTCAGGTAATACTTTTATCACTTGGATATGGATCCTTAAAGTTTTGCATGATTATAGTATTAGTGATAGTGTTGTGGGATGCATTTTTTATAATAAATGCAGAAAGTTAGTGATGAGAATCGAGAAAGAGCGTTAAATCCTCAACATCCCTATAGAAAGTCACGTTTAGGGTGTGCTCGTCTTGAAGCTGATATGGTAAGTATGTGTATAAATGTACTATACAATATTATAAAAAAATTTAATTGCTATGTTAATTTGTAAAAATGTATATACAGGTAGAAGAGTCAGAAGTTGGTGAGATAAACCGTAGTCAAGTGTGGAAGGTTGCCCGCGTCAATAAGAGCGGGGTGATTGATAATGAGAATGTTCAAAGAGTTGTGGATCAATGTGATTGTATCTATGAGTTCAACGCTTTTGGATCATGAAGGTGGTTACTACATGGGGTTGTTTTGTTATCCTTTCTTATTTTTTTGGTGTTTTGTTTAGAGAATTTGATTGTATGTTTTTGGATTTGGATTGAAGTACTCATAGATGGACATCTACAAATTTGGCTATGCAAACGCCCTCTTAATATTCTATATGTTATGATATTTGGAAACAATAGGATTTGGTAATTTAAAATGTTATTTGGTATTTGATGGATCATAATATATATGCAATGAGTAACTTAAAGCGTTATTTGTGTTGAATTGAATATAATTATTTTATATTTACACCAAAAAAAATGATTGTGTAAGAAAAAATATTGTACTGTACTTATTAAAAATATTGTACCAAATATGTACCATTTATTAGCACTTTATTTGAAAGCGCTATCAAACATATGTTATATATTAGCGCTTTTTGTTTAGAGTGCTATAAAAAAACAAACAAAAAACATGCAAAATACTGACTTTGATAGCACTTTAATTAAAACGCTATTATAAATTGGTACTTTAATAGCGCTTTTAAAGTGCTATTAAATAAGAAATATTTACAATAGTGGCGCGGTTAATAGCACTTTTAAGCGCTATCAAAAACAAAAAAAAACGCTATTAAATAGCTTATTTGGCGTAGTGATAGCATTGTCGTAAGTTTAAAGTGAATGTTGAGGCTTCTCTAAAATATATAAAAGTTGTGAGTTTAGGTCTAAATAAATAATAGGGACTAACTCATGATAAAACACATGATCAATTTTTATTTGGAGTATTACGAATTTTCAAACATTTACTCCTATATTTATATTTTTATCGTATGAAATTCAGTTATCTAACACAGTGAAAATGGGTCTCACATAAAGAGTGAGACTCATATGAATTTCATCAAATAAATGAGTAGTTGTTAAAATATTAAACAAAAAAATCCATCACTACTAAATTCTTATAGGACTAAAATACTTGGTTTGATCTACTTTATGGACTATTGCCAAAAAAACCTACTTGGGAGATTGATATTTTTAAGATGAGATTGATAATTTATTTTTTGAAAATAGATGAAATATTTTTTTTGGTCTCTTAAATTTACTTTTGGATCTATTCCGGTCTCTTATTTTTAAAATTGGTCCCTTATTTTTAAAAAGGTTCAAACGGATCTTTTAATTGTTCAAAAAGTTTCACGTTAGTCCTTTCGGTTAATAACTTACCACTAAAATAGCTTACCACTAAGCCACTTAGTTGTTAGTTATTAATATTGCATTCGAGTTTCTCATATCTTGACATTCTTGCACTCCTAATTTAATAAGGGGAAAGGTGAGCATTGCTTCTTTCTTTCAAACACATTATGTTATGCAGAACAGAACAACAGATTCTATTGGTATAATTTAATTTTGATATAATCATTGCTAATAGTTTGAACACTTGCATCCAGGTATCCAACAATGCATTGTCACGTGTATCTTGAAACAAGTTTAACACCTCATGATATTGTTAACATATTTAAACTCATGAGATGACATGTTATCTTGAGTCAGTTTGTTTAAAGTTTAAAAAGTGATTTTTACATTAGATTACCCAGGCTAATGATTATTTATAGAGGTTTTATATAAAGTCTAAACTAATGTGTTTGTTTATAGTCAGTCATACATATAGTTTTTTATGATTCCCTCCCATCTATCCCATATTAAAATTCGATTATTTGTCAAAAGCTGTTATAACTAATTTTTCATTATAATCTGATTTCACATTTGTTTTTTATTCTGGTTATTTCCAAAAGCTGAAACAAATAGATAGAAAATCCTAAAAAGTGATTAATTTGAAACAAACGAGTTCCATATTACTGGATGCAAGTTTAAAACTATTTTTTTACACTTAACATCATCATAGTCAAACTCACAACATATTGAACAAACTTTGTACTAGAGGTTGCGCTCTGAAGCAAACTGGTGAATGATGATTGTTTGTATGTTTACTAATGTCTTTTTAACTGCCATGTTGCATTTTCTTCAGAGGCACAAATTTAGATCTAATGCGTGCATTTCTTAGGGATACTACTGCTGAAAATGAACAAGGCCTGAATCTGAATGAAAGACAAAGAGTATGGGTATGTCATTAAATTAGGAGTGCAAGAATGTCAAGATATGATAAACTTGAATGTAGTATTAATAACTAATAGCTAAGTGGCTTAGTAGCGAAATAAACTTAAGGGACCAAAATTGATATTTTACCCTGAAAATATATTGTTGAACTAATTTTAAGATAAAATAATATAAAAATAATAAAATAATTGCAACATTCTTTTACATATAAATGAATTACAATTAGTTGTGTACAAATTCTTTTGAAACAAAAGCTCGTATGATTTATCAAACATGCAGCATTCATAATAATGTGTTAGAACAACAATCATTATAAATTTTTTTTAAAGATAAACGAAATTAAAAGTAAAAGACAATGAATATTATTGATTTTTATTAAAACATTTTGGTTAATAATGTTTACCTTTGCGATTATAGAGCAATTATAGTTTCCTCTATTTCTGTCTTATGAATTAATTAGGATTTTAATGTTACAAGTCATATTATAATACTAGGGTTTAATTTACATAAACTTTAATCTCCAGTTATCTCTACCCATAATGATCTCAACAATATAAGTTATACTCAACAACTCATAATAATCTAAAAAAATATGAGTTATACTCGACAACCCATAATAATCTCAATAATATGAGTTATACTCAACAATCTCCACCTTGGCGAATAACAAACTCCTATCAAAACTTCTTGCATGATGATTCATCCTGACAACTAGGGACATACACCTCCTACTTAACACTAAGAAATATAACAAGTCCAATCAATGACTGAACTTGTTCCTGATGACTGGTTTGATCAACATATCAGCTGCATTCTCAGAAGTACAAACTTTTTCAAGTAATATTTGTCCAGATGCAAGTAACTCTCTGATCTTGTGAAACCTCACATCATTATGCTTAGTCCTAGCATGATACACTTGATTGTTTGTCAAATAAATGTCACTTTAACTATCACAATGGCACTAAACTCCACCGCTCAACACTCAATTCTCTCACCAATCATGTAAGCCGTAAGACTTCTTTGCCGGCTTCACAAACCACCATGTACTCTGCTTCAGTTGACAACATGGCCACTATGAATTGAACTGATGATTTCCAACAAATAGGCCTTCCTGCTAAAGTGGATACATACTTTGTTGTAGACCTCATATCATTCATATCACCATCATAGCCTGAATCAACATATCCTACAATTAAAGGATAGCCATGTTCATTGCTAAATATGATACATAACTCACAATACCCTTCAAGTACTTGAAAATCCACTTGACTCCTTCCCAATAATGCTTTTATGGTTCATAAAAACTTACAAACTTGACTTATAGTTTGTGTCAAATCTCGTCTAGCGTATACCATAGCTTACATTAAACAACCATCAATATTTACATAAGAGATCTTTGAAATATACTCGGTTTCTGAATTTTTCTTTGGGCACCAATCTAATGAGAGCTTAATTTTCTAGAGAGAGACATGATTTTCTAGGACTTTTATCCTTGTAAATTTCCATACCAAGAATATTCTTAGCAACACCTAAGTCTTTCATGTTAAACTCCTTTTCCAACATAATTTTCAGTTTATTTACATCATGTAAACTATTAGAAGCAATCAACATATCATCAATATACAATAACATCAAAATAAAATAGTCATCATCAAGGATCCTAACATAAATACAACAGCCATACTCACACATTATATAGCCAATCGTAAGCATGTATGAATCAAAGCGTTTGTACCATTTCTTTGGAGATTGATTTTAAACCATACAAATACCTCTCCAATTTACAAACTAGTCTATGTCCAGTAACATTGAACCCCTTTGGCTATTCCATTTAAATTTACCTATCTAGATTACCGCAAAGAAATGTTGTCTTCACATCTACCTGCTCTATATGCATGTCTCACCTAGCCTACCAAGGCTAATACTACCCTGATAGAAGTATGTCTAACGACCGGAGAGAAAATCTCATTATAATCAATCCCCTTCTATTTTGAGTACCCCTTTTCTACAAGACGGGCCTTAAACTTTTATCCTTCTTTTTTTTGTTACTGCTAGATTTCTCTGGAACACCCGCTTACAACTGATGATGAAGAAGAATAAAATAGAAGGGGTGACCATACCTCTTCTACAACCCCCTCAAATGAAGCATGTGGTGACCTGTTGAAAAGATAACACACCATGTTGAAACAACCAGC